ACATACATACATACATACATACATACATACATACATACATACATATAACATCTATATAATATGTGATGTTTCTGAAATTCTAATACTTCATAAAAGTTTCAAAAATTTTTTTGATAAGAGTTATAATAATTATAATAATTTTCAATACATTACATTAAATATATTATATTAACACACTACTTTTTAATAACAAATACTGAATAAATGATACAAATATAATTATACATCTCTTAATCATAACTAAATTAATTAATTAATTTCTTGTAATAAAGTAAATATAACAAAATATTTTTTATTTTAACTTTTTCATCTTGCGCAACTGCTACAACCTCCAAAAAATGGAATGTCAACATTGTTTCCCGTGTTTGGTCTACCAAGTCTACGCATTGGAGGACGTGGTCTATATAAATTGTACAAATATAGTAAATTGTGCAAATTATTATTTTATATATTTATCGTTTGATATAAACATTTGAAGAAATTATCATACCCAGAATCTGGACGATAATCCCTTGAATATTGACTTCCTAATCTATTCATACCAGGATTGACCAATGTCTGAAAGCTAAATATTTCCAATATTATGTGAGTAAAGAAGAAAAAATAATACAGCTAATTAATCAAAAAATCATAATTTATACAGCATTGTAGATGATTATATAGTGAATTATAGAGCACTTACAACATGATAATCATATAAATTACTCCTGTAAAGAAACCGAAAATTCTTCTTAATCCCCATGGAGCAGATTTTACCACGTCACCATCTATAAGCAAATTACTATGTATAAAAATTCCATTATTTTACATAAAAAATTAGATCATAGTATATTACCGTCCGTTACATAAACCATACTCGAAGCAGCACGCTTTGTCAACAAATTGATTCAAATACAAAATTTATTTTCAATTTTTTGATTCTTTTTCACGTACAATCTTATACACGATTTTATTATACGTAACCATAAACTTTATCAAATCTTTAAAAACATCACATATACGCTAACAGACTGACAGACTGACAATTGCTGGCAATGACTGGCTGATGACTAGCAATCAAATAAGACAATTGAATGTTAAGTCAGTAACACACGATGCATATTTTCATGCTGGATCGGTTGCAATATTTGCAGATTACTAGAATTGCACTACACCTATCATGTGATGCTTTAGAATTTAGACGCTTTCAGCATTTCTATCAATTTATGATTAAGTTGTGTCCTATTAGAGAGAAGTTTGAGAGCGGCCATGTCCGGGATTTACTTTATTTTGAAGCGCCCTATGTTCAAAAAATGTGGAATTGAACGTAACCAATATCTATAATCCGATCGGTAATGTCCACAATTTTTTGGTTGTGTTCTTCGCTATATCTCCACGAATTTCGGTCCGTTAAATATATAGATAAAATTAGAAACTATGTGTACTCTATAATACATGATTTCTGATAAGTTAAAATGCTTATTCTCTGTTCCCTGTTCCTTTTATTGTGTGAAGCCCCTAAGTTGTCTCGTAACTAGACATATTATAAGCGCCGACAGATTGATTGTTCATCTTTGTCTAACAGACCTAAATTCGTGGATATAGCGAAGAATACAAAAAAATTGTGGACATTACCGATCGGATCATGGACATTGGCTACGTAGTTCAATGTCTACATTTTGTGGATATAGAGGCGCTTCGAAATAAAATAAGGAGCTCTGCACAATAAAAGGAACAGGAAGAAACAGAAAACAGAGAATAAGAATTTCAACCTACACAGAAACTGTGTACTCCACAATGCATGATTTCTGATAGGTTGAAATTCTTATTCTCTGTTCTCTGTTTCTTTTATTGTGCGGAATCCCTAACAGCTAAATCCCGGGCATGAACGCTCTTAGGCTTCTCTCTGGTCCTATTGGGTATGGGAAAAAGTTCGTGGCGATTTTTTAGTAAAATTAAAGTGTTTTTCTTAGAGTATGAGTTGAAATCAATTTATTTAAATCAAATATGCTCCATTATTTTTTATAATATTTTGTCATTTTTGGGGCAATTCCATCGCGATAGAACTTCTATGATTTCTAATCGAAAAACTATTTCAAGTGATTTTCACAGGCCTCTTTTGAAGCTAGCTTTACACCTTTAAGAGAATTTTGTAGAGACCTAAACAAATGATAGTCTGAGGATGCTATGGAGGGTGCTCAGAACTATACGGTGGATGCATTAAAACTTCCCAGCCAAATTCTCGCAATTTTTGCCGAGTTATCAAAGATGTGTGTGGTCGAGCGTTATCGTGATGGAAGACACCTCTCCTATTGATTAATTCTGGCCGCTTCCTCTCAATTGCTTGTTGTAATCTGTGCAGTTGTTCACAGTAGAGTTCGGAATTAATTATTTGATTGGACGATAACAGCTCATAGTGAACGATTCCCTTCCAGTCCCACCACACACACAACATCACCTTCTTCCTTGTCAATCCAAGTTTTGCGATTGCTTACGCCTTCTCTCCTTTCTTTATCCACAATCTTTTTCTAGTTGGATTGTCGTAGATGATCCATTTTTCATCACCAGTTATCATTCTCTTCAGAAATGTTCAATTTCATTCCGTTTTAGTAGCGTATCACAAATGTTAATTCGGTCCATCATGTTCCTAATACTCAACTCGTGAGGAACCCAAACATCGAGCTTCTTTTTGTATTCAGCTTTGTGTAAATGATTTAAAACTGTTTTGTAGTTGATGCCTAATTTCCTGGCAATCTCCACAGTGCTCACATGCTTATCACGCTCGACTTTTATCATGATTTCATCGGACTTTTCAGTGATTGGTCGACCGGAGCGAGGTTCATCTTTCACATCGAAATTTCCAGCACGAAAGCGAGCGAATTATTTCCGTGCTGCTGATTTTGATAGAGTATCTTCACCGTAAATAGTGCAAATTTTTTCACAAGCCTGTGCAGCATTCTTGCCTTTATCATAGCGATACTGCAAAATGTAGCGAATTTTTTCCTTATTTATTTCCATTTTCAAAATAAAATAACTTTTGATCCACTTCACCGATTTCAATCTTTTTCAGCTCAAAACAAAGGTTAAAATGTCACTTTTTAAACGCACATCTAGTGTTGCCGATGTGATTAGTAATTGCCGACTGCTGAGCATTTAATGTCATCTAACGGGAAAAACGCCACGAACTTTTTCCCACACCCAATATGTACTGCGTGTTACGTATAATATTTGTTGCGAATTAGTTGATGCTGTTAATAAATAAACATAACAAATAAGATGAATTTATAATTTATTAAATGATGTCACTATATAATGATTATAATTAAAATTTTTATATAAATATCAATAGGAAATATGACTAAAAATACTGTTATAATCTTATCATAGCGATTCCGTAAATCACCGCTCGCGAAATCCCGAAAATCGTGCCCAACAACGAGCTCTGTTATTTTAACAAGATCGGCAGATTCGGATGTAAGCCATCGCTTCACTCAGACGTGTCTCTCGATCCGTTGATCTATTTAAGTTCGTGTGCTTTGAATTTATGTATGATTGTGTTCTATGTTTCCACATTCATATTTGTGTTTATATATCTGCAAAAATAAAATATTTAAACAAATAGATTTGTTAATCTATATAAATCTTTTATTTAGAATAATTAAGGAAGCTACATAAATTTTCTTGAACTACTTAATTTATAAAAAAAATATGCCGGACATGAATAACCCCGTATACATTTAATGGATACATTTAATGGATACTAAAAGAATGTATATACAGTAAGAGTTAATACTGATAAAAATCTAGTTTATACATAATTAAAGAAGTAAAAATTCATAATTCATATATTTTTGGCTTATTTCTATATAAAATCATCTAAAAATGAATTTTATAAATGCGAAAATAAAATTAATTCTTATTATTTTCTCTTACAAATTGCTTAGTTTGAATAAGTGGCTATATTATGAATAATATTATCGTTTTACATGTTTGTAGTTTTTTAAATTTGTTTGATTTATTCTTATTTCTTTCCTTATAATATAGTTTTAAATATAAAATCGGAGTACAGCGTAAACTCTCACACCTGCATAAGCTAATTTAATCGTTAGTATTGTGTTATTGCGTTAAATAATACTTAGTTCTATTGGAGCTGAAAGCAAACCTGTATTTATAAAAAAATTCTCCACCCTCCCCCCTCCCCCCAAAAATTATCGCGTTTGTGTTCTGCAGAACAACATAAATCTATAAAAAATTTTGTATAAGATCTTTTAAAATTTTATTGGAACAATAATAAAAAATTTCATAATAAAAATATTTTTTTTAATTTCCTTTCTTCTTCGATATGCGCATATAAATAATCAATAATAACTCGTTTTTTGTTGATTTATACTTAATAATACCTTTTTTTATATCAAAGGAAAGGATTTTAGAAATCTTATTCACATTCATTTATTTGTATGGTATTATACTATCTACTGTGTCAGTTTTGGAGCCTTCTTTATAAAAGATAGGAGTTTTTCAGAGCTTTTTAGTTCCCATAGATGTGCAGAAATCCCAGAGCTTTCATGGATGCGGAATTCTACATTCACAATTTTGGGATATTAAACAACATTTTTAAAATTTTTGATAAATTTTAACAAATTTTAAGTGACAAAAATCATTATTTAACTAAGGTGTCTATGCTACACGCTTTGCTTATCCTTTTATATTACTTTTATATTATCCTGCTTCTAGGTTACATAACTTTCTCATGCTGTACTGGTAATTGTACGCGTGTTATTGAAATCACCCTTCCACCCTTCTCTTCAATGAGGTACTTTACACTCTGAAAAGTCTAAAGTCTTCGTCCTAGGTCACATTCTACTTGTCCTTCACATTCTATTTAATTACATGAAACTCAATATATAAATAGTCATGTTTGTGCAAATTATTATCTTTTTATAAATATTGATAAATGATTTAATCTTAAATCATGTGATTTCATAACATTAAAATCATTTTTTTTTAATTTTTAATGTGTGATTCCATCTTTATCTTAATTTTTAATACTCATAACTGTGACAACGCATTTATACATCTTATATTTTTTGCAAGTTTACCATTATTGCACGTTTTACTACTATTTGTATAAAATAGGACGAAAAACACCGCGAAATGAAAAATAAAACGCGCAGCGCTTCACTATTTATAGGGATACATCATAGTCACTATGAATACTAAAAATCTATAGTTTACATTACTAGTATACTATGTTACTATTATAGATTTTCGGTACTTACGCCTAGATTAATTATGCATCGTGCGCGCGATTTGTAAAAGCAATCGAATCATTTCGCCCTAAAAATCACTTTTTCTTCATGAGTTTTTTATCTCATCCTGTTCTACAATTCTGAACATACACAAAAAGGATACATATAAAGCATCATCTTTGATTGTTTCGATTTGCTTTCACCTCGCCTCACTTCGTCTCCTGGAGGTCGTCCTGGGACGACACCTGGGTAATTCGCGAGACACGCCCGCACACGCGCGTATCACACATATACGTGATCGGGGCATTAATTATCAATTTTAGCGATGAAATGGTCTACGAGCTTAGTTATGAGACAATCCGATCTCCTCGTACATATCTATATAAACTACCGGAGAGCAAGGTTTAGTCAGTTGAGCATTTCAATTGCGAATGTAAATTTCTCGTTGTGCGAATGTCTGACAGTAGTGACCGATCTCTCAAGAGATTATGACACGCCTTTATGGTTTTTCTTTAGCAGGTGAGGGTAGATACGTATTATAAATTACACTAGGTAATTTATTATTGTGTTGATTAATAGAAATTAATAGAAATTGACAAATGATATGGAAAATCGAAAATTGATTCTACGCACGTATTGTTTTGTGTACTACGCAGAATTAAATTCTTTCTTCTTGAATCTCTCGATCAAGGATGATTGCGATATTGCATATTTTATAAACAATGATAATTCCGCGAGATCTCAGTTCCAAATGATTTTATTGCTGAATGATTTTATCATGTTGATAAAAGTTGGATTAACAGTGAGTAAGATGATAAATATCGCTAAGAGAAGCCTAACTTAATCGGAAAACGGTCTACACAATGTAATTTAGTTAAATGTCATATGTAACGTGCTATAAATTAGGAAAATTAAAGAAATAAATGTAAGTTGTCAGAAATTATGAATACGATGCGACAGCTTTTAAGTACACTTACATATTTTTTCGATGGAAAGGGAAGGGTATTTTTTTTATCTTATGACGTAGACATACAAAAATAAACACGAGTTGGTTGACAGATGTCATACTAATAACTTTCACTTAATATATTATATGATTTATGTGTGTATACGTGCATCGAATTTAAAGCGCCCTGTTTCTATCAACTTTCTCCAAATTATATAGCTGTATCTTAAATTCCCTTTCTCAAAAAATAGTTCGACTAAACTTTCTTTTGTGTGAAGTGAAAGATAAATAGTTGGAAAGTTTGCGAGTGTGATTTGCCGTTCTTATATAAGTTTATATTTTTAAGAATAAAAGAACCATCATAATATTTTACATTAAAAAATATTTATTTTTGAACAATGAACAAATCCCATGATCTTGATAGTCATAACAAATTTCGAAAATCCCGTATAACAATTTAATTAAAATAGCTCAATATTATGTTATTTTAATATTTTAATTTACAGTTTGTAATCGCACATGTATAGGTTTGGATAAGTTAACACATAGTTGATAAACTTTTCGACTAATATTCTCGATTTCTCCTTGCTGTAAAACTTATATTGCTGTAAAACTTATACGATTCGTATTGCGATTACTCGCGACATTTTACTTGCATGATTCGATTAATTGACAAGTGTCTCATCTTGAATTGTTAATTGTGAGGAAGTAAACGTCTCTCACAAATTTTAACGGGTGAACCAATTTATAATGATTATTTATAATGATATAATGTCAGTGTATCAAACGTTATATTACGATAAGGCTGCTATACGCGCGATTCAATGCAAAGTGATAAATTATAATTAAGAAATTGTTGAATCTAATTGTTGTTCTACAATGTATTCTTTGTTTCCTGTTTCTTACTTTTTATCTTTTGCTTTTTTCCTCTTTGTGATCATTTTATCAACAATTATATAAAACTTATAAAAATCGTAATCCTTTTATACTTGATCTTATCGATAGCAATTATAATTGCTATCGATAAGATCGAGTTTAAAAAATTACGAGATAAATTTTTTTTTGTGTTATGTTATAATAATATTGATTCAAGAAGATATTTTTAGAATTGTTAGAAATAGTAATTTGAAGCATTACAGAATTGAGAAATACAAATATTGAAATTTAAACAGATATATTCATAAATTATTTACTCTCTATTTGCATTCCTTTTAGCACATTTTGAGTTTGGTTTGATCTAAGTAGCAAACAATTGAATTTTATTCAATTGTTTGCTACTTAGATCAAATCAAACAGTCGACCAGACTGAATTTATTTAGCAATGTCTTTGTTATTTCAAAAAATATGTCGCAATTAGTAATAAATCGAATGATTTATTACTAAGCAGTTTTCTTATTCTTTCCTGCAATTTATTATTCATTTGACATAAAAATTACATTTTTTGTAATTAGTTGAATCGTACATCAGGAGAGATGTGGATCTATCTTGCCTTTCTAGCTGTTATCTATATTATATATACATTGAAGAATTACATCAGAATCCTCAGATTTATCTTTACCCTCGATGGACCGAAGACAGTGCCCATTCTTGGCAACGCTAACATTGTTCTCGAAGGAAATCGTGAGTAATTCAATGTTATTAATTAAAATTGTTTTATATTGTTAATTAATCGTTAGCTATCTAAAATCGTGATCCTACCTGTATATTTTATTCAACCATCCAAATTCTATGTTATTTTTATATCAAAAGTTGCAACGGCCTGCAAATAAATACAGTTTTTAAAATGATAAAATATTGAAAATGATAAACGTTCATGTACAAAAAGATTTTGATTTTCTAGTGATTCAAAGGATGACAAACGAGGCACAGAGTTATGGTCGTATTTTCCGAATCTGGTTGACGCTTCTACCATACGTTATGCTCGTCGAGCCAGAAGACATCCAAGTAGTACTTAACAGCATGAAGCATACACAGAAGATATTCTTTTATAAGCTGTTCGATAATTTTTTGGGCAAGGGCTTGATTACGCAAAACGTCGACCAATGGAAAGTACATCGAAGAATTTTGCAACCAATTTTTCATCGTCAGGTGCTCGAGAAATTCGTTGGAATATTTGGCAAGTGTGCTGATCGTCTAGTCGATAAGTTATTTGAAAAGGATGCGAAGGACATAAATATCACCGTATTTATCAATAATTCGGTTTACGATATATTAATCGGTACGTAATGTAAATTGTTTGTTTTTGAAAAGATTTTAATAACGACGAACAGAAAACTTTCTTTCATTATCCAAGAATCACGAGGGCGGATCCAGACATTTGTCAAGGAGGGAGGGGAGGTCACTGACGGATTTATATATTTTTGAGTTGATTTTTGGATTGCCGGGTTTCTGAAACATCATAAGTCAATTGTAACGAACGAATAACAAAGAAAAAGAAAAAAATTAATTATTTATATAATTTTTGTATCTTTCCTTATTATTAAATTTGCGCGTTGCAAATGAAATTTTTTTAAAGTCAAATTCAAAAAGGTAGACTATTCAAATTATTCTCATTAACATTACATTGAAAAATTACTACGTAAATATTTAATTTATAAAACATTTTATTTAAAATGATATCAGCAAAAAAAATATATACACCCCAAAAAAAATATTCTACTATTTAGCTATTCCGTGTTAATGTCAAAAGATTTTTCATTTATATATGTCCTTAAGAGGATACTCTATTAAAGTTCGTATAATCATAAAGTACTGAATTTAGAATTGCAATTCTCTCAATACCTGAAGAATATCTTGCATGCATGCTTACTACGATAGCACGTGAAATCACAAATTTCTTCTAACAAATAAGCGTACCGCTAGTATTTTGAATATCCTCTTATTTCAAAAGGCTATTCAAGTTGTTATAATAGAATTTTCTATTGAGGAATTTATTTTTGATCGCAGCTGATGTGTTCTTATTTATAAATGAATGTGTTATAAATAAGTACCTAATTAATATAAGATTTTTTTACTTACAAGTAAACCTACGGAAGTGTCACTGTTTTTAATGAAACTTTGCATATTTGTAGAACTTTGAAAAATATTTGACACGTATTTTTTTTTATCAGTCATGGTCCACTCTGAAGGGTGAAAACTATCCTTAAAGATAAGAGATAGATTTAACATATTAGGTGAAATAAGTAGATGAAATAAGGTTGAAAATTTTAAAAAGTAAAATGTATAGGAGGTTTTTGGGATCGCTGAAACTAAATCTTATGTCAAAAGTAATTCAAAATGGCTGACTCAATATAGTCCAGATACATCAAAATTTTTATTATTTTTTATTTTAAAATTTACCCAAAATGGGTAAATTTTAAGAATTCTTATCACAGAATTCAAATTTCTGATTTTTGGGTCGATGATATTAAAGATATAAAATTCAAAACGGTGATCTCAATATAGCAGCTGTATTAAAATTTACAATTTTTGCAAAAAATGTGTTACAAAGTTCTCATCTTTCGGAGTGTTTTTTTACAATGAGTCCCCTTGCTTTTCATCTTTAGGGGTGCTTTTTTCCAGTGAGTCCCGTACATTAGTCTTGAAAAATTTTACAAATATGATCTGTAAAGAAATTGATCATGCATAAAGATTTTATGCACTATGCATATCTAATTATCGCTGAAGTATTATACAAATTACAGATTGCCGCATTTCTTAAAATAGTAACAGTGCATGATGCATAAAATCTTTATGCATCATCCGAAAGATGAGAGCAAGGTCTTTTTATGTTTCAAACTTTCAAATGCTAAAGGGAAAAATTTTGTTGAGCAGTAGCGACTTATCAGCACTTATCAGCAGATACAGTAATATTTTATATAGTCTTGTAATTAGTGATTTTCGCATAACGTTGTATAATGCAGTATTAACAATAGCACAGTAAGCCGCAAGAACCTATGGATGCTTCTTAAATTAAAAAATATTTTTAGAACATCAAAATTGTGATTTTAGAAATATTAAAAAAAATGTGACATTTTATTACAAAATATTTTTAAAAATGAGACTCTAAAGGAGGAGGAGGGGAAGGATATAACTCCCATGGCTCTCCTCGTGAATTCGCCAGTGAAAATTATCTTCATACGATACACTCAAAAGAAATTCACGAAATTTTAATATATGTTTGTTTAAATAGTATCAATGGGATCATTTACTTACAGTAAATAAATATTTATTTAATTCAAAAAAATTATACTTAATTTAAGTATCATTTTTTAAAATTAAATATTTATTTTCTGTAAGCAAATGACTCCATTGATATACTATCTAAACAAATATTTAATCAAGTTCGTGAATTTAAAGTCCGTAAATTTTTTTTTAGTGTGTAACTAATCAAAGTCAATCAAAGTCATCGAAGAAAAATTTATAAAAGCGAGTAAAAGAACTTTGTCTATCTTTTTTATGAAGTGCAAACATGAAAAAAGAAAAAGATAATAATAATAGTACCTACGTGATAGCATAAATCAAAATAATATATATTATGTATTTACGTAACAATAAAGATAAGATCATCATACAATGAAATAGATAATAGAAATACTAATGTATTCTACCGCGTCATAGCATTTGTTTGTAAAAATCAATGCTTATCGTAAATGACGACATATGCCAAAATATTTTACTTTTTCATAAATACGACATGTGGTTAAGTGCAATATAAGCATAAGCATCCACATCGAGACTTATCGAAACAATAGTTCATACTCGTGTATTATGCTTTTATTGATTTTCAGTATTTACGTTTACCGCTAATATGCCTTAAAAAAGACTATACGTACTTCAAAGTCCTCTCTTCAATATTTATTATCACACGTTTTAATATTTCGAAAGCGCATGATGCTTACATTAAATATTAGTGCTCTGACATAATATTTATTTCAGAGACGATTCTGGGTACACCGACAAACCAAGGAAAAAACGATGGTGAGGATGACCCCTTCAGAAAGTGAGAATATCAACATATTTATTTTATTAGCAAATCTTGTTATTAAAATCCAACATTAAAAAAATAAAATCTTGTTCTAAAAATTATCATATTCTGTTTCTCAATATTTTATTATATTCTCATGTTTTAAAAATCATCATGATAAATAGGGGCCAAGTTATGATGTCATATAGATTTGCACGACCATGGTTGCTAATCGATTGGATTTACCGATTGACAGCAGCTGGAAAATCGGAGAAGCAGCAACAGAAAGATCTGTTCAATTTTTGTTTTAAAAAAATGAAGGAGAAACGCGAATTTTTGAAAAAGAATGGCTCTCTTATTGCCGATGATAGCACGATTAGAAAAAAATCTCTACTAGAATACATGGTCGAGATTAGTGAAAGAAATCCCCAATTTACTGAACGAGATATCATCGAGGAATGTTGCACTTTTATGCTGGCTGGCCAGGATTCGGTCGGCACTGCTACTGCGATAACACTCTTCCTTCTGGCAAATAATCCGAAATGGCAGGAGAGATGTGTCATGGAATTGCATGAGATTTTTAACAATGACACAAGGTCGCCAACTATGCAGGATCTTAAGAAGATGACATGTTTAGATATGTGTATAAAGGAATCTCTAAGGTTGTATCCTAGTGTGCCACTTTTTGCTAGAACACTTGGAGAGGATATAAAACTAGGTAATAAAATTTTGTAATATTATAAAAAGCTATGAGCCAAGCCGAATATTTATTGCTAAAATTTAAACAGTGAATTTAATAAAACAATAAACAGATCTTTCGACCTCTATCAGATCATTATTAATGTTAACAAAAGAATAATTATTAATTATTAATTTCAGAAAAATACTATATGGCAATTAGAAATGTAAAATTTAAATTATTATTAATTTGCTCTTATTAATTTCAGTAAAATCAATATTAATTCGATCGTAAGATCTTGTTAAGACATTAAAAACTTAAACGCAAGTCGCAAAAGATAAGAAGGTCTTCGCTCGTATAATAGTCAGTGTGTAAATTAACAAAAATGTGTGAACTATGCTTATATCCATTTGTTAAAATATGTAAATGAAGTTATGTTTATTCTTTAGTTAATTTATACTTATTTGTAATAGAGTTAGCACAATTTCATTATAATTCACAAATTGTACAAAATTTAAAAAGAATTTTAAATTTTAGGCAGTTTAATTTGTAGCTGTCAGAACTTTTTCCATGATAATAAGTATGATTTTAATTCTGCGCTTTAATTCTGCGAACATTTACTTTTACAGCTTTTTTTGAAATTTACAACTGTATCATTTAATTATTTACAATTACATTTTAATTAGAATATGTAAAATATATATAATATAAATTATTAATATATTATTACGTAGATAATACATATCAACAAATACTTCAACATTATTCGTGAATATTTAGTAAATAGAACCAATAAAGATATCCATCTAAACATCCAATAAAGATATGATAAAAATAATATAATTATATACATTATATATAAAAATATTATTCTAAATCATTCTTGAAAAACATTATAACAATATCACTTTGTATCATGCAGGAAAATATATAATACCGGCCGGTTGTGGCGTATTTATAGCACCATACTGCACGCACCGCTTATCTCATCATTATCCTGATCCTCACGATTTCAAACCAGAACGTTTTAGCTCTGAAAACTCTGAGGGAAGACATCCATATGCTTACATACCGTTTAGTGCAGGACCTCGCAATTGTATCGGTAAGAATAACAAATATAAATCATAAGATACAAATATAATCATAAGATACATGAGAGAAGTATTAAAAAAAGACACACATTCAATATATTATATTATAAAAAAAATTACAATTATAATCAATTATTCTTCTTACATTCGACTGTGATTGATCAATTTCTAGTTTTTGATTTCTAATTTATTGTAGACGAAGACTAAAAATTCTATTTTATAAAAAAAAATTAACGTTTATGTTTTTAAAAGTTTTTTTCAATATATCAATATAAGATAAATATCATAAGATAAATCATAAGATTCATTAATTTTTTTCGAAGAAAAATACTCATTACTCCTTTTTCGTAATTTTTTAGGATATAAATTTGCCACTCTTGAAATAAAATCAATCATCAGTGCCATTCTGAGGAAATGCCAATTAGAGCCAACCCTTGGCAAGGAGAAAGTGATAGCTAAATTTCGATTGACGGTCAGAGCACAAGGTGGACTTTGGGTCAAAATAAGAGCGCGCAATAAACAATATAAATTAACGCAATTAAATTAATAATTCCGTTCTCAACGGAAAATTTTGCAAATTATAAACTATAAGTAGTGATTATAATGTAGTGATGATATATCTCAAAGATATCTCAAAGATAATTTAATGAAAATAAAAAGCTATAACTATGTCATTTCAACACTAAAGAAAAGTGACATTTAATCAATGCGCTTTTAGAAAGAAATAATTTAATAGTGCAGTTTAAATTTTCTGAGACCTTTCTTCGTTTATTATATTGTTTAAGCAAAATGGCTGATTCAAAAATAAAGAAACGCGCAGAATTTTTCAAGAAATATCATTATTGTTATATATACAATACGTATACAAATTATTTCTCTCTATCAGTATAAACAAAAAATGAAATTTACGCTTTGCAAACATTATGTCTCATATATAATCAGTAAAATCATCGATTTTCAAATATTATTGTTTTGAATCATTGAAATGAATGAGTTTAAAGAAAAGTCACATACAAGAATACTGTTAAATTAATCTTTTTTAAATTATGTCAAAACAAAAAAGGAAAGAAAAATCTTTTAGAAAAGAAAATTAAAAAATATGTTGTTAAATAAATATATATGTTATTTATACAGTTGTTATGTATTGGGAGTACAAATTAGTTCGGTCCGTTTTTTTGTGCATTTATTTCAAAACAAAATGAATGAATTGATCAATTAAAATATTGTCCACCGCTGCCTACTACTTTTTCCCATCTCTCAGGTAATTTTCGAATTCCATCCCGAAAAAATGACTCGTTTTTGGAGGGGATCCAATTTTGGAGCCAATTTTCGATTTCTGCGAAAAAAGTGAACCGGTGACTTGCTGCATCCTTCGGAACAACCAGAAGGAGCAATGTCCGAAGATACGGCGGGTGCGGTAAAACATCCCATTTGAGCGTTTCCAAATATTTTTTTACGACTTTAGCGACATGAGGTCGAGCGTTGTCATGAAAAAGAATAACTTTATCATCGTCTTTGCTCGTATTCCAGCCGTTTTTCTCGCAATGACTCAAACGAATCAATTGTAGCCGATACCGATCACTCGTAATGGAATCGTCAGGTTTCAGCAGCTCATAGTAAACAAGACGGGCTTAGCGTAGTATTTTTTCTTCTTGGGATTGTCATAGAATATCCATTTCTCATTTCCAATCACAATCTGACCTTTTCTCTGTTGTCTTTGAATCAGCTGTGAAAAATCACCTTTCAACGTCTTTCAGTTCATAAGGCACCCAATTTCTTTGTTTTTGAATCATTCCCATGGCTCTCAATCGTACAGAAACGGCTTGTAGAGTTACCCCAAATGATTCTGCAAGCTCCTCTTGCGTTTGACTCTGATCTTCTTCGAGTAAGCCTCTAATTCTTTGTCTTCGAATTTTTTTGGCTCCAGAACAAGGCTTGTCTTCAATGTTGAATCTCCATTCTTGAAACGTTGAAACCATTCCCTACATGATTTATCAGTTGGAGCAGTGTAAACTTCGACAAGCATTTGATCTTTTTCGGCTTCGGTCGCACTTTTTTTTCAATTAAAGCAGAAAATCAAAAATCAAGGTTTTTGTATGAAATTCAAAGCGATATAAACTGAATATTATTAGCAGATGTTTAACCTCTCTGAAACCGCCAAAATCAGTTGTCACTATGAACCATTCACAACAGCTGGAGCTATCTTTTGACGGATCGAACTAATTTGTACTCCCAATATATTAGGTGTAGTAAAAAGAAATCCATTATTTTTCCATTCAATTTCATGCAAAAATAATGGATTTCTTTTTACTACACCTAATATAATTTTAGTATTCATTTCTATATATACAGAAAGTGTAAATATTGATATATTTCCACTTCCAAACTTTTTGCAGGAACTGTACAGCTGATCTTAAGGACAGAAGCACAAGCATAACGCATAACGCATAACGCATAATGCATAAGAAAATAAATCAATTAAAATCTTTCATTTTTTTCCTTTCTATAAAATGAAAAACGAGAAGCATAAACTCTTACATAACGCATAACATATAAGGCATAAGAAATTCAGCCAATCAGAGTTCTTTATTTCACGGAAATAAAGAAAACAAAGGACTTTGATTGATTTATTTTCTTATTCATTATGTGTTATGCGTTGTGCAAGAGTTTGTGCTTCCCGTTAAAGATTCTAATTGGTTGATTTTCTTATGCTATATGCATTATGCTGTATGTGTTATACAAAGATCTATGATCTGGCTTTAAAGGCTTTAAACACAATAGGCAATAGACAATAATGAGCTTCCAATCAGAGTTCTGGAATACAATATCGAATTTACACATCGAGCTCTGATTGGATGACTTGTTATTCCCTGTTGCCTTATGTCTATTGTGCTTATTGTCTATTGTGTTTAAACCTTAAATCATTGTATGTAATAGACTTAGGGAGCGTTTATATTGGTAACTGCCCTATAAACGCAAAATATTCCTAGAATGTTATTATGATGTACGGATATTATTAAAAAAATTAAAATGAGTTATTATAATATTTTGAGAATATCATATAATAATTTTTAATATTATGAGAGTATTCTATAGAGAGTATTCTATATATCCACTTACACAATATTTTTGGTATTATATCCCTGACATATTATTAAAGTATTTAGAAATATTAACTGTTTTTAATTTAATGCAATTTGAATTCGTAATCCAGTAACAAAAAGTTCTTATCAGTTTATGCTGCATCGTGTGCTAAAAAAATGTTTCGGCGTAATTTTAAATACATATTCAGTAGGTACTACAACTGCGCACCAAAATCAGCCTTTAAACGTATATTTATTCTGAAGATGTAGCAGTTTTACAAATTAAAGTAAATGCTATTATAATAATTTTTAATGTTTAAATAATATTACAAAAGTAACATTAAATAATAATATAACATTATCAGGAATGGACATATAATTATCCATTAATATTTCGAGGATATTATTTAATATTATATAATTTTATTAAAATATTCTTGAACTGTTACATTTAACATTCTAAGAATATGCTTAAAATATTTACTTAATATTAAATAATATTATGCGTCTATAAAGCGTATGCCGTATACCATAATCTGTAAAAATTGATCAATTATCTTCGAGTATTCTTTTCCTACAGTCGAATAAGAAGGGAATACTTGACTGATTAATTAATTCTTATATAGATTAAGGCATACGGTTACGGCCAATATAAATATTTCCTTAAGGCTGCCACACACAAAATTCCGTAACACTATGCGTAACGTGTAAACTTAAAGTATAAGCTTGAACCATGGTATCCATTCTCTTTTATCAGGGTGAAAATGTAAGCCATCTCATATCGTGTGATTCCCTAACTTTCATCATGATACAATTGCGAGCAATCTCAGGAGAGTTCGGCAAGAAATTTCTTGTCGAATGATAAGATCCGAGAAAGAAGGGCTGAGAAATAGAACGAGAGGAACAGTCGATTAAATCGACTGAACAGTTTTAAGATTAAATATATAATTTTGCACAGTTCAAAGACAAAAATAAAATCAAAAAATCAAATCAATATACATGATAATAATTTTGTTACTGGATGAAAAGGATGAGGCCTTTGAACCACATATGAGAATTACACGAAGAATGCTTAGAGATATTCATTTTCAACAGGATTGACTTTGTAAATAATGGCAGAAAATCATTTAGGCCCAGTTCCACAACTCACGGTTTACTTTTAATCACTTTTAATCGAAGTTTGACTTATTCGTTATCCGTTTTTAATTCTAGAATTGGAAAAAATTAGGAATAAATTTTAGTGGTTCGATTTATGTTGATAATATTCATGAGCATCGTTTGGCTTTAACATTTGACAAGGATGAAATGATTTTTAAGCGTTGTGAGCGTGAATCGGATCGCGGATTATGTTTCACTTCACATTTTCACGTTTTTCCCCACAACGACAAATCTAATAATTTCGTATTTTCACTTCGTCATTACACGGGGATCGATTGTGGATTTTGAAAGGAGGTAAAAATTACAAAAAGTTATTAGGTATTGACCAATTAAATTATGAATACTCTAGTGAATTTACTCATTTTTGTAATTTTTATCTCATTTGAAGATACACAATCGACCCCCAGAATACTACTGTAGATTACGTAATCTAACGGATGTAGAAATAACAATAACTTATCTATAATCTCGCAATAAGGTGAATTTCAACCGGTTGAAATTCGCCTTATGAATAAGTTTATTGCTATTTCTATTTCCGTTAGAATACGTAAATTTAAAGCAGATGGCTCATCGGCTTAAGTTCACTGTTGTCTTAAGGTTACTGTTACAGAAATTTTGTCTGCGGCAGTCCTTAAAGCCGGTTCTACATTAGTTGCAAGCTGATCGCAAGATTGTTGCGACAACCAATCTAAAGCTTTTGAAATCAACGTTTCATATTGGCTGTCGCAAACTTGCGATCAGCTTGCAACTAATGTAAAACTGGCTTAAAATTGATATTTTAGGTGTCGTACATATGTACAACAAACTTTTTCAAGCGTGTTGATTGGCTGTAGCATGGAAAGATCCGGGAACATCTTTATCCAATCAACAGGCTTGAAAAGTTTTGTCGACACTACATGAAATATCAGCCTCAGCCACTCTAGCTGCGCGCGCGCTTTGGCGCGACTTATGTTGCTTTTACGGCAAAAATTGAACGTAATACTCTGAAAGACAACGCAATCCAATGCGACTGATGTTTTGTCAAGAGAAAAGTTTGGAAAGCGTCTATAAATCGCGGATTTTTATTGTTATTATTTATCTCGATTATCGTAAATTTTTTTCAAATATTCGGTCGATTTTCTATTAGTCGTCCGAGTACTATTAGGATTTCGAAAACATTCGTTCGATATTCGATACCTACATGTAAGAGCATTGGATCGCCGCGCCGGTCGCTCTCCCGCGAAGGAGGGATGTGGAGGTCGCATCCTCGTGCTCTGTACACGCGAACGACGGCGATGGCTATCAGTTGGCCGTGAGCCGTCAAGTGAGTCTGGTAGAGTTTGGTGACTGGTGTATGTAGCTTTGCAGCATCGGGAGAAGCGATCGATTCTACGGAACTGCGCTCTCTCGCATATCGCTCTTTTCTGTTCAGAGCGTTTCGTCTCAGAGCATGTCTTCGTGTAGACAGCGAGAGGTGATCGATCTACCACTCTCGTCGTGTCGAGAGATGTTAAAATAATCTCGGGACAAGATAATGAAATTAAATTTGAAACGAAAAACGATTGGAAGATACAGGAAGACGGTGACAATCATTAAGCACCCACGTGATCGAAGGTGCCGCGCGAAGGTGTCGATTAGATACAAGGCTCTCGTGTAAGATTCTGCATCAGTGACAGGAGCTCGCCTCGCCGCAAAAGTGTGACAGAGAAAAAGGGACAGAGGGGAGAAGAGGGAGAGAGAGAGAGAGAGAGAGAGAGAGAGAGAGTGAGTGAGTGAGTGAGAGGAATAGGGAAGAGGGCAGAAAAGAGGAAGAAGGGAGAGAGGGGGGAGGAAACCGATCAATGTTCACGTGACAATCAACAACGCGAAGTGAAGTTGCCGCGAAAGGGTGCGCGAACAACGGCCATATTCAAGGCGAGCTCGTTGTCGCTCCCAGTAAACGCAGGGTCGCAAAAAACAGTCTCGTGATTATTCATCGAGAACGCGGAACGTAATAAAAGAGAACAAGGTAAGAAAACGAGAACGAGGAAGTGCAGCAATTAAGTTCTTTTCAATACTACGGTGACAGCAATCCCTTCCATCATCTCGTCGAGATGGAGTTCAAGTTCAACGTAAATAAACTCTTGCCTAGAAAGATCAACAAGGTCACGCACAATCTGGTGCCGGAAGACTTCAAAGGTGATCGACGTGAATTGAAGTGAGTACTCTTCTTTCTGAAATCCTAAAATAGTATAACTCTCCCGAATTATCAATTATACTACGCAATGTCCATTTATACATCGAAACTCGCGCCCGTTCTACGACTTCGCAAGTGATTTCATCGGCTTTCTGTATTTATTAAATTGTGATGTCATTAAGAATAAAGATATCTTTATATTTATGACGTAAAATGTACGTGTATGTATATATATATATATATATA